TGACAGAGCCTTCTGAGGACGTTCCAAGACATTGTGCAGTCCTGTGGTCTACTTGGAAAGCCGTAGAAATAACGTTTCAAGGGAGATACTCTTGTTGGTTTTGACTGGATATTCATATAAACTTTTTAAAGAGATGAGCGATAGAGCTAACCCTTATCTGTAAGTTTTGAATTTATATTGTTTCATCCCATGTACAAAACCATTTTTTTCCTACAAATAGTATTTTTTTTATTTTTGTTTTTTTTGTTTGTTTTTTGCGTCGGGCAATTGTAAAGGAAAGCAGAATGTTTTATCATGATTTTTGCTTCGATGACTTTAGGGCAAATTTTAAAAAGTACAAAAAAAATATATATAACAGGAGTGGCAGACAGTGGTGTGGTAATAAAAGACAATACTGTGTGAGACAATCGCACATGGAAGGGCCCCAGTTAAAGTATGGAGATCTCTCTTAGTATGATGGATATGTATGTACCCATGATCTGAGGTTAGTGAAGGCTGGGGGAGAATTGTGGCATCAGGACCCTGTGGGAGTTCTCGTTCTCTCTCTCTCTCTCTCTCTCTCTCTCTCTCTCTTGCATGTGTGCGTGCGCTCATGAAATAAATAGAAACTTTAAAAAACAAGTAAAATAAAGTAAAATCCATAGCAGGTATTCTGACACCCTCCCCCTTTTAAGAAACATGAAGTTTTTTTGCTTTATTTTCAGTTTTACCAGAGTGAGCATGCACTCATCAGAAAGAGACAGAGAAGAAGAAAGCATTCCCCAAAGGGAGTGGCCACATAGCAATTCGTTCTCCTCCACTTCTCTATCTTGTCAGGAATTTGGGCACACATGCACATGAACCTAACATACTTTTCAATCTACCAGAGCAGGGATTCAAACCATGCAATCAGCCATGTAGGATCCAGCTCCCTTAAGCTATAGGCCATGGCTCCGGCCTCATAAACAGTTTTTGTAGGATTCTGACTGTCTCTGTTAGTCAGTAAAGCTGACCATCCAACAAAAAGGCAAAATCCCGGACTGGCAAAATTCATTCTTATTTCCATTTCAGGTAAAAAGCTAACATTTCTGTTAGGGATATTATTAATTCTTTACTCTTTGTCCTCAGTGGCAATTTAGAGCAAGGCAAACTGAAACCTCTACATAGAATCCTCGGGTTCACCAAATTCCTTTTTTTCTTCATGCGCTAACATTAAAATAGGTAAGACTGTACACATTCAATCTCAGAAGAATATAACATTTACAGTCTTTCTAGAAGTTTACCAAGAAGTTATTTCTCACTCTTCACGGACAGATTTTGTGATTCTTTTAGAAACTCCATGTCCCAATTTAGCTTCTACTTAATAAGAAAAAAAAAAAAAAAAAAAGAAAAGAAAGAAAGAAAGAAAGAAAGAAAGAAGAAAGAAAGAAAGAAAGAAAGAATGCTAATTTGAATTTTTTTTTAATTTCTTTATTTAAAAATATTTTCTTTTTTTTTTAACCTAAAGCATCAATTTCAGGGGTGACTCATTCCAAGATGCACTGTCTAGAATGTTTTAAATTTAATTTACTTGCATAATGCCAATCAGATCCAATTTAAGTAACTTTTAAAAGTTGATTTTATGGATTTTCTTCTATTTTGACATTATGTCTTACATTATGTTTATTCAAATTTAGTTCAGTCATCTTCTTAGTTAAAAAATTAAAATATTTTTAAATTTGTCTCTTAATTACCAGGCCAGCTGTTCAAATGCCTTCACCCTAATTTTCCTTCTCTGTTGAAAATGTTTGGAGGGTAAAGTATTCAAATATGCAAATCAAATGAGAGTGTTAAAAGTCCAATTTGTATAAAGAGATTGAACAGCCATTCTGGCATTTCCCTTAATTTACAAAAAAAAAAAAAAAATGCTAATTTCTTATCAAGTCCATTAAACTCCACTATAAACTTCAAATTCAAAATAAAAATTTATCCTCTTAACTAGGATATTTTGATTTAAAGCAGACCTCTGAAATTTGGTGTATAATACATCTCACTTAGCTTCTTATTATTGCCTTATATCAGGCCTGATTCTCAGATACTGGCAGGGACCTAAAATATGAAACTAATGATTTCAACAGTCCCCTTTTTGCGTGTAGTCAGCAGCCCATCAACAATAAAAAAGGGTATGTCAGCAGAGTGTTCTTGATTTTCCCCAAGGCAAAGTGACTGGTTTTTGTGACCCCAGTTGGATCACAGGGCTTCAAACTTTGGTCTCAGGGGAATGGGAGTTGAGGGGCCTTATTAATTTCCTTCTATTAATGACTATCTAGAAGGCAAACTTCAGTTGTCATTTGAGCCTCTGGAGGGTAACACCTTGTCTACTTTTTAAAATTGTGATCAAGATGGGAAAGAGGCTAAGTCCAGAATAATAAAAAACACTTAACTCTTGGGAAAAAAAACTTTCTTTTCCAGATTTTTGTTACAGGGTACGTGTGCTTTACCAGAGAGAAACAAAGAGAGAGAAAAGTAAGAAATTGCCCTGGTCTTCAAGGGAGATGACCACACCACAACCCCTTTTCCTCTTGTCTTCTCTCTTTTGGGCACACCTACACATGTGCCTGGTGTCCAGGACTGCCGGGTCCAGGACTCAAACTGTGGAGTCAGCCATGTGGGAATCTAGCACCTTCACCATGCCACCTGCTGGCCCCTTGTGTGAATTCTTACATACTTTTTAGGGGATTATAAGTCATTGTTTTAAGCCAACAAGGGAGGAGGGAGGAAGAGACCGATAGGAAGTCAAGAAGAGAAGTAGCTGGTAAGTTAATAAAAAGATCTTAAGTGTCTAAAGTTTATTTCCCGGTATATTGTAGTCATCAATATTTATTTCCCAAAAGTCCACTAATCCTGACGCAAACTCATTGTACCTTCAGCTGCACACCGCTTCCCATAGTGGTCACTCATAGACTTGAAGCCATCAGCACAGGAACACTCGTAACTTCCTTTGGTGTTATGGCACTTCTGGGGACAAACCCCAAACTGCTCACATTCATTAATATCTGCAGGCAAAATAAAAGCAAATATGCAACATGTGCTCCCTTCCATGTCTTCCAGATCCTGCTCCTGTTTAAATCCATACTCACAAACAATAAGGACTGAGAAGAATGCAGATGAAAACAAGCAGTGATACCAACCTTGGTGGAACACTCACTAAGTTTCAGATACTGTTTCACATGCTTCTAATGTTTTTTCCCTCATTTAATCTTTAACCAAGAACAACTCTGGGAAGTCCCAAAGCTGGTAGGCAATAAAGTCAGTGTTTAGGCTGAAGCAATATGATTCTGCACAGGAGTAGAGCAAATTTTCCCTATCAAAAGCATCTGTCATGTTGTTATTTGGTGTCGGTTCCCTTCCGTAAATTACCTTCAGGAACTAGTCATTGGCTTGAATTTTCAGTTGAGTTCTTAAGCTTCAACTCTTGAAAGAACTCTTCCAATCATCTGAGCATGACAGCATGAGTCATAAACAGTAAATTCAAATAACAGAAGACACCAAATCATACTTGTCACTTACCATCTTGATAAGTTAACTTCCAAATCCCATACCTTAGAACTTCTATGTCTAGCATATGTAGGTAAGTAATAATTGTATGTTGTTTGACTTAAAATAAAGAAAGGAAGCCATGTGTTTGTTTTAAAAATGTTGTTGGCCTCACACACTGATACAATATGCAGCCATCATTACCAAGGCCTTCATCATTTGCGTCAGTTTCACGGACATTACTGAGCAGGCCCTCTGGGCTAAGCACTGACTGGATGCTGGTAAGATGGCATGCATGCAAGGGAAAAAGAAAATGGTTTTCTTTTTTCTTTTGCTCATTGTCATCCTTTGAATGACCTATAACCATGACATCTGCCTCATTCAGGGTTAATAAAAAGTTACAGGTGGAAAGTCTAAAAAGTATAAGGTTCTCTTAAGAGAAATTAGAGGAAATATACTATACCATAACAGGAGTTTCTGTCCAAAATACCAGCTTTGAACCCAGATCTACAGGAGCAGATAAATCCCCCTTCACTTAATTGGGTACAATTGTGTTCACATATATTTTCAGCACATGTTCGTTCTTTTCCAATATCTGGAAGAAAAAAAAAGCAGCATTATAAATGAAAAGTACAAATCAGATTAGCAAACAATGAACAGTCAAGTGGTATATCAGAAGGAGTCACACCAACTACAAGACACCTTGACCTGACTCCTTTCCATAGGCCTTTGAGAGAATAGGGGCTATTTGAATACTGATTTCTGTGCCATTTATACAAATGTATATAATGTTAAATCCTTGAGGTAATTTGCCCATTATAGACAGTAACGCCAAGCACACCCTCATAACATCCAGTTCTGGACTCCAAAACTATGAATCCAGGGACTCTAAAACCATCACCACCTGCTATACTATTTCCAGTCCCATTCTAGATAGATGGATAGACAGACAGAGAAGTACATGTATAAATAAAGGACATTAATACTAGTTACAGAGTGAAGTTACAAAAAAGATGAAATGATAAGGTTATATGAAGGCTATGATTTGCCTAAAATTGACCAATTTATTATACATGTATTGAGTGTTGGCCAGAATGCAGGAAAATGCAGAATTATGAGTCATACAACTGCTATTAGAAGCACAAATTGGTATAAATGAAAAGGAATTTGGTATGTGTATTGAAAGATTTTAAAATATCACACATTTCTACCCAGTTATTTCATGTTAATGAATTTCCCCTCAGAAAGAAATAAAAAATATTTACTATGATTTATGTTTAAGGGTAACAGCATTATTTATAATAAGAATATTTCTAAAACAACTTGAATATATATTCAAAAATAGGTAATAAAATAATGTTAATCGTATATTTTATTAAATCTAAAACACCACTAATATACCATTATTTTTTTAAAAGAATGATTTTATTTATATGCTTATTTTAATTTGACCAAGGAGGGACAGAATGAGAGAGAAAATGAGAGAGAGAGAAAGTAAAAAAGCAAGCCACCAGGTCCAGGACTCAAACTGCAGTCGACCACGAGGGAGTCCAGTGCCTTTAACCACCACACCACCTGCTGGCCCCAATACACCATTATTTTTATGAACTGCTAAAATAAAAAATATCTTGGAACTTACACTATACATGTAATCAATTCTTGAATGCATTTTGGTTTCAGAGTTGTTAAAATGTTAGAATAAGAATATATCTTAGAAGCAATGAGTTATGATTATTTATATGAAACATTACAATTCATGTTTCAAATGATAGCTTGACAGTTTGACATGGGAAGTATCTATAATAAAATAAAGGAAAATATTACAAAACTCTCTATTTAGCATAGATTACTTCTTAAAATTATTTTAATCATTAGGAAATATTTTGCACATATATCTGCCCCCACCAAAAAAAGCACAAGTACACCAAACTTTAGATTAGTTCTCTTAGTAATGAAATTCAAATGAGTCTTACTCTTGATCATATACCTTCTAGATTTTAAAACTTCCATAGTAAAAAAAAAAAAAAAAAAGTAGTTAGTTTTTATAGCACCTATATGAATGACCCTATAGCTTTGGGAGTTTTTTAAGAATTAATTTTATTTAACTTTATTTATTTATTTTGACCAGAGAGAGACAGAGAGAGAGAAAGTTAGAACGTAAGTCACCAGGTCTGGGACTCAAACCGTGGTCAGCTAGGTGGGAGTCCAGCGCCCTTAACCACCATGCCATCTGCTGGCCCCCACGCTATAGTTTTTGACCCAGGATATCTGGTTTATCTAGGATAAACTTTTAAAAGTTCAGACTGTACCCAAACACTTCATTTCTCATCACTGCTCCAAGGTCTTGATTCTGCTATCTACCCAAGCCGTCTGACTTCCATTCTTGTCATTCTTATTAGTTTGTTTCTTCTATTCTTGTGTCCATCTACCCTCTAACCTAGGTCTCATAAAGCTGAGGAGGAGGAACATAGATACTTAGTGATAATGGAGGAAAGGAGCCAGCGTTTACCTCCAGAAAGGATTCAAGCTTTAAGTATCTCTTAAAGGAAATGTCTCTTTGTCACCGGTTTATATTGTAGTCAAAGGGATTGTTTTATCTCCTAGCTCAATTATGTCAAGTGAAAACAGATTTATATTCATGTCTTGCAAAGTGTGCAATGAGGTGAACTTAGTCACTTCTCAAAGTCCCCTAGGATACAATGACTCAAAACATTGAGTTTCATGACAGAAAAATAAGCACAGAATAAAGCACAGTGTCATTCAATGATCTGCTGCCCTTGGTATACATACTCCAAAATTTTACACATGAAAGCCTTATAATATAGATCTAGTCTGAGCTCTCAACAACTGCCAGTTACTAAATAAATATATCCAAATTTTGTTTCTTCTTGAGATAGCGAAGCTCAGTGTTTTATGTCTAAGAACCCGTCTGTTCATGTTAGTTGTCTGATTTGTTGTTATAAAGTTTTTCATAATATTCCCTTATCTTTTACATTTCTGTAAGGTTGGTAATGAACATTCCTCTATATTGCAAAGTAAAGGTGACCTGTTTTGAATAACTTGGATATCCTTAAGCTAGTCACATAGCCACTCCGGATTTCATGTGCTAAATGATTAGACTTTGCGATCTCCTCCTAGCTCTAAAATCTATAAGGAAAGTAAGCGTCCCAGAAGGCAAATATTTCTAGACCAAGTGCTCCCCGCAGTGGGTCATATTCTTGTGAAATGAGAATCCTTAAGAGTAGAAACCACCGGGAACCAGCAGTTAGCGTAATGGCTATGTCACTGGACTCCCACGTAGTCGACCGCGGTTCACGTCCCGGACCCGGTGGCTTAAAACTCACACCGGGCGCGTGTGCGTGCGTGCCCAAGATCCCGAGAGGAGAATGGAGGAGAAGGGATTGTGGCGTGACCATCCCCCCTGGGGTGATTTCCTGCTTTCTGTCTCTATGTCTCTCTCTGTCTGTCTGGCGAGCACACACGCCCTATAGTGAAAATCTCTCCAAAAAAAAATAAAAAAATAAAAAAATAAAAAAAAGAGTAGAAACCACCTATCATGGTGGGATTCCTCCTCAAATTTAAGGACTTTCTTGTAAATTCTTTCATTTGAAAACAATAACTATTTTAGGTCCTATAATGACTTCCCTAAAACTAGACATATGACATTCTATTTATAAAATACACACTCCATATTCCATTTCTTGAATAAGAAATATGAACTACCAGAAAGGTAACTATCAAGTTCATCTATCTTCATAATCACTTAACAAATTTGCTAAAAGAGTATATTTTAGGTGCTCTTACCACACACACACCCAATAAATAAATAAATAAATAAATAAATAACTGTTAAATGATACATAATTCATTTGTTTGACTATAGTAACATTTCACTATGTGGCTCAAAACATCATGAGTACACCTTAAAAGTTTTAAAAAGTTAAATATACCCTGAATACTTCATTGACCCTACTGAAGAAGAAGGAACAGGAGGTGGGGGGAGGTGGGAAGAAGAAAGAGACGAAAAGGAAGAAAAGAAAAAAAAGGCAAGTGGATTAGCAGCACCCAACAACTGGTATTTTAAACAAGAGTTTCATGTCTCAAGTTACTAGCCCACAGCCATAAGACTGAATTCCATATTATATATCTACAATGTCTGAAAAGAGAAGTTGCTTCTGTATTCAAATTAATGTCTGTGCTAGTTATTTCCTTTAAGTAAACCTTATTTTTAATTCAGTGTTATTTGAATAGATAATACTGTAGTTAATTTTAAGCCTTTTAACTGGCAGAGGCAACTAAAAAAGAAACCAGTGTTTGACCCAAGTCCAACTTGGAATGACTCCTGAAGCTGTTCACATGTTAATCTCTGAGTGTCACAACCCATATCTGCCATCCAGTTTTGCAAATTCTATCATATTCATGCTTTTAAAATACTTAATCAAGTAGCTCTGTTATGTCAATAATTTCATGCCCCAATGAAAAGGGATGTAAAATAAATGGCAAACCAACTCAGTGTGGTCATTACTCATCCTCTTTAGTAACTCATGATAATGAAGACTTGCCAGGAAATCCTTTGGACACCTGAGAAAACTGAATAAAATCCCAAGAAGATGAAAGCATATGCAGCTAAGAGGACTAAGTCACTGGGTCCTAGAGGTTTAAGAACTCCCTCCTTTTTCTAGTGAGTAAACCAGGGCCTGAAAGGTCAGTAAGTGCTCAAAGTGGCACAGCTAGTGACAGAGGGGCTAGAAGCCAGCTATCCTAGCCTGGAACCACGTGACTGTTCAGCTTCTGCCTCTGTCACACTTTGTGCGACACCAACAAGTTACTTAAGCTTCCAGAGCATTATTATACAGATAGACCCAATAAGGCTAACCCGAGAAACAAATTAGATCATATATATGGAAACAGTTCATGAGCTATAAAGGGATTGTGACTTTTTAATTCATTAAAATGTCATTACAACATTTCCATCAAAATATTGAGGTAGAACCTTCCCTTCATTATATCCATTATCCTTTTCATTCACCAAGTCTTCCCTCTACTTCAAAAATAAAAACACATGTTTCTCCAAGGTCCCAGTGCCTTTCTCATCTTTATCAGCTATTTTCAGAAGCTTTTACTGGGAGTGCCAAGCACATTGCATTTGGCTTAAGATTGTTTAACTGTGCAAACAAGATGCATAGCTTTAAGGTGCTGAAAGGCACCTAGTGAACTGGGAAGAGGATGTGCTCTTCAGTTAGAGTTCAAGCCCTAACTCAGCCACTTAATGACAGCAAGATCTGAACAATTTATTTAACCTCTAAGCTGGTTTCCTCATCCATATGTATGTGTGGTTATGCATTTAATCATACATAACTCATAACATCGCTACAAGGATGAAATGAGATAACTCATGCAGAACATCTATTATAGAATAAGTGCTTAATAACAGGTAGCTTTGGGCTTGACTGCAGTTCAAAGCACAAAGTAAATTAAAAGAAATATGTAGTTATTGCCCACTTTATGTTATTGCATGCTTTAATTAAGTAAAGCTGAATTACTACAATCAAGTATAAGTGTTTACTTACTGCAGCCCGTTTCATCAAAACCATCACCACAGTCATCGACATCATCACATACATTCTGCTCTGAAATGCAGTTTCCATTGCTACACTTAAATTCACCTTCTGTACATGGCCGAGAGGTTGGTGTTCTACCTGTAATTTAAGAACAAGTTAAGGTCCAAACATTTTCTATGAAACAAGATGCTTCTCTTTTTTGCTAAATAAACATACACTTTCTACAGTGCCTTAGTCTCCAGAGCAGCTAGGCTGTAACCACGTGACTAGTTCTAGCCAATGGGCTGTGAGTCAGAAGTGACGCGTGCCACTTCTAGGCTGAAGCAATTAAAAGCCCATATGTCTCCTCCATGTCTCTTAAGCTGCTGCTGCAACCTTAGATGCCTCGTGTTTCAGGTGACATAACAAGACAGAGGAAGACTGCAACCTGAACTGACCTTCATATGACTGAGAACTCAGTCTTGGTTCTATTACATCACTGAGACTGAATCATTTGTGGGTTTCAACAGCTGGTGTTGATTACCCTGAATATTATAGAGTGATGAGGGAAGTAGGGTACCTCCATAACAAAAACTAACAATACTTGGCATCGGCTTAATTGTCAGGGGGCAATCATTGAGGAAACTAGTAGCGGAGACAGGAAGATGGAGTTCTATGTTATACAAATGGCATAGCATTTGGTAAATGGGGCAAAACATTTAATAGAGACAAAAATGGAGAATTATCTGTTGATGATAATATATATGGTAATATCTTTGATGGGACAAACATGCCATATATTCAGGCCTGAAAAGTTTATTCTCTATGCTATAAAGATGTATAGTAATGTAAAACAATTTTTTATGTTTTTAAATAAGACAAAAACTCAGAAAAGAACTGGCTGATTTATAAGCAGAAGTGAAGGAGAATTAAGTTTGTAAACTTGAAGTTTAAGAGAAGCCAACTACATTTACATCCCAAACAGTAAGAGTCTGACATTTAAAAGGCTTTGAGACACAAAAGCCCAATAAAACAGTACAAAATGACTGCCCATCTATCTTTCCAGATGGCCTGAATACAAGTAACAGTCAGTTGAGTTAGAGTTGCAATAAGGAATGAAATCAAAGAAAGAAAGTAGATTCGAGAACTTTGTCAAAAGTTCTTGAGACTGGGTGAGCTTATTAACTCCTAGAACTGACTGGAAGCAAACAGCAAAAAACCACTACGTCTCTGAGAGATACATCTGACCAAATAAACCAAAAAACTGTGACTGTTAAAGACTTTTTTTATGAGATATTTTTTGCTATAAGATGTGTGCACTCACCAGAGAGACATAAAATGAGAAATCACCCCCCACAGAGGATGACTACACCATGATCACTTCTTCTCCATTCTCCTCTTGGGATTTTGGGCACATAGGCACATGCTCCCGGAATGAGTTTCAAACTGCCAGGTCTGGGACTCGAACTACAGTTGGCCATGTGGGAGTCCAGTGACTTAACCACTATGCCATCTCCTGGTCTCATGACTGTTAAAGACTTAAAAACTCTTATATCCCCAATTTCTATAAGCAGACAGTGAGTTTAAAAAGCTGTGCAGTCCCTAAAGAGGACACATTCCTCTGCTCCCTCTTCATTTGAAGAAGAAAATAGACAGGGAAAGCTTTCATAGGGCAGTGTCGGAGAGGAGGAACAAAGGAGACAGGAGCTTGTCTGAGAGCAGTCATGACCTAATCAACAATCTCCTCCACTCCCCATAATAGGGGCCTTCCCAGTGTCTGCACAGGGTGACCATATAATTTACGCTCTAAACCAATATGTTTTGGAGAGTGAAAGCAATCCTATTAATAATCCCACCAGGACAACAGACATAAATCAGGACTATGCTATACCAACATGTGTTATCCAGCTCAGTGGTATTTCAGAATCGCTACAACCTAGTGATTGCAATGAGGTCGTAATTCTTTCTTTCCAGATAGAAGTGTTTATTTCTACTGTGCTGCCCCTCCCCACCCCCGATTCTTCCATTATCTACTGGGGGAGATGGTACAGATAAATCTACTCCATTAGCTTAGGGGTCTCTAACCAAGAGGAACCACACATGAAATTGATAGAGCGATGACTGCCCATCTCTTGGGGAGAAGTAACTGGTCTTCTATTAATACATGGGAGAAGAAAAGTCTGAAGGGCTGGTTAGCAACACAAGGGTAAATTATGGTAAAAACAATTGGAGTTTACTAAATAGCCAAACACTTCCCTGCACTTCCCTGTGTGTCTCCACTTTTCCTCTATTCTCCTGCTTTGGCAACCTTGAAGACCACATGTTCTTGATGCATAACCATACGATAAGGAGGGCTTATTGTTTGAGTAATGCATGTGTTTGTGTGGTTTTGTAAGCGATTATGTCAAGGATCTGCATTAACAGATACAACTCAAGCCTCTACAGACAAACAAATGTCAGAGTACATTTTGCAAACTGCAAACAATCTAGAGCCCTCAGTTTTTCCTTTCCTCTTTTGACTTTTGCTTACAGTGCTCCTTCTTCTCGTCGCTTCCATCTCCACAGTTATCCACACCATCACACAGCTTGTGACTATAAATACAGCGATTATTGTCACACCGGAAACGTTGTGGTGATTCACAGGGAACAGTCACTGAAAGGAATGATGGAAAATGAAAATATAAGAGCAGAACATAATGTCAATATCTAAAATACTCACATGGTAGCACTAGACTTGCTTCATTAATTTCCTCATTCTATTGAGTTATTGGAAAAGTCATGATGCATCTTGGCATAGAAAAACAGAAAAAAACACGTCATGACTTTTTCAACAACCCAATATTAATCAATTAAGACATACATCTTGAATATCTACTACACACCAAGTCTAGAAACCAGATACGATGGGGGAAAAGAAAGATAAAGTCCTTGTTTTCATAGAACTTTATTCTAGCAGAGAAAAAGACTACAAATTAAACATTCGAGGGCCAGCAGTGGTATGGTAGTTAGAGCATCTGGATCCCACATGGCTGACTGCTTGGTTTGAGTCCCAGATCTGGTGACTTGAAAATCACACCAGCCATTTGTATGTACATGCCCAAAATCCCAAAAGGAGACTGGAGAAGGGATTGAAGAATAGCCATCACCCCAGGAGGGTGATTCCTCACTTTTTCTCCCTTTGTCTCTCTCTGGCAAGCACATATGCCCCATAACAAAAGTCAATCAATTCATTTAATTAAATACACTTGTTCCTCCTTCCTCTTCAAAGTTTATTTTTACTAGGTATAAGTATGTTATCTTATGAAGAGAAGCAACCTGCTAAGGAAAACTTCTTTGAAAGTTAAACATGCTAAAAATATTTTTCAAGATTCATCAAGTTAAAATGAAAAGAAAAACATGGCTAGTTCCTAGAATTAAGGTTGGTAAGAAAAATGCTGGAATGCCACTATGAAAATATTTTACACTAAAGTTCTACGGGGGCGGGGGGGAATACTTTGATATATCATTTTTTTAAAGAGAGAGTTTTGCTATAGGGAGTAGGCACTCACCCGAGAGACAGAGACAGAAAACAAGAAATCACCTCCAGAGGGGATAGCCATGCTGCAATCCCTTCTCCTCCATTCTCCTCTCTGGATTTTGGGCATGCACACACATGCACCTGGCATGAGTTTTAAGCCACCAGGTCCGGAACTCAAACCATGGTCGACTCTACACGGGAGTCCAGTGACGTAATGGACAGGCAGATGGTGTAATGGATTCCACATGGCTGACTGCATGGTTTGAGTTCTGAATCTGGCAGCTTGAAACATATGCTGGGCACACATGCACAAAATCCCGAAAGGAGAAATAAAGAAAGGATTGTGGCATGACCATTCCCCACTGGGGCAGCTTTCTTACTCTCACTCTCTCTCTCTCTCTCTCTCTCTCTCTCTCTCGCAGGTGCACGTGCCCTTTAGCAAATTAAAACAAACAAACCACAATAAACTCTTTAGCTTTTTTAGTCTTCTGGTTGAGAACTACAGGTCCATTACACCATCTGCCTGTCCCCTGATACATCATTTTTGAGAATCAAATCCATGGTTTAAAAATGAGTAATGATAAATATAATGGAAAGGGAGTGGAAGAGGAAATAAGACCTCACTTCTAAAGGTCAGAGGTAAGTCAAGAGTAGGAGCTAATCAAGCTTCTCTTGTGATGAGGGCTTTTGTTTACTCGAAATCCTTAAAACTTCAGCTTGCATTGGAATCACTTGGAGGGCTTGTAATGCATAGATTGTTGGATTCCACAACCAAAGATTCAGATTGGATAGGTCTGGCATGGGGCCCATGATTTCGTATTTAGACACTCCTAGTCCAGAGAAGACACATTGAGCACTATCGTCAAAGATTTTCTCCAGTGACTCAAAGCATGTAGCAAAATGATTGAAACTAACTCTACTTCATTCACTTGGTTAAAATCTGTAGTTCCCAATCATGTGCCCAGCATGTTTTAAGCTGCCAGATTCAGAACTCGAACCATGCATTCAGCCATGTGCTGACCACACTGCCAGATGGCCCCTAAAAAACTTTTTAAATATATGCATATATATACAGCCAGGCCCCATCCTTGGTGATTCTGGTCCATTAAGCCTAAGCTTAAGGTGAGAGCAGGGCATATATTCCCTCCCACATTGATCTGGATGTGTACCTGGTTTAGAAAATTAACATGCATAATACAACAAGAGGGAATTAGATGGACTTGCATTATGATGTTAAAGGTGTTTAAGGATTAAATGAGTCTTAAACATGTTTAAGGTAATCCAGGAAGCTCTAGGGGCTTAGAAAGGGCACTTCAAGAAGCACAAAAGTAGGATGGTGCAAGGGAGGTACAACCTCTCCCCCATGCCTCCTCTGACTTGAACCGTAACAGATCTTCCTCTATCTCTGCCCACTGAGTTCCCAAATGAGATTTATTTGGAAGAGATTCTTTCCAAGGTTCTAAAGTGTTTATAAACCATGAATGTTTGATGCTTGCCTAACTTTGTCAGATTACTTATAGAGAAATGAAGTAGAAAAGCCAAGTGAAATGACACCAATGCCCATCATGTGTCCAGTCCTCAAAAACTGTGCAATTTCCCTGCACAATTGTGCACTATTTGTAAGAAACACTGAGTTGTCTTTAGACAACATCATTTGCATTTGCTCCATTTTGCTCTGTCTTACAGCATAGGTGAAGTTCTTCATCAGAACCATCGCCACAGTCATCATCACCATCACACTGCCAAAACTTCTGGACACAAACGTGGTTTTTACATTCAAACATAGTAGTGGGGCAGTATGCACCATTGGGAAACCGAGTGGCTAATGGAAAGAAGATATATTCAAAATGTTAGACAAATTGATAGTTTTGGAAAGCTCTTGTCATTATAGCCTGTTTTCTTTACGACCTGCTCTTCATCCAAACACAGTGTTCTTAATCTGCCTAAGATTCTGATGGAATCATCTTAAGGATGGTTGTCTGAGCCCAGTTTCAATGACATGTCTCATTCCATGGATAGCACTGGGCTTTGTCTCTACAGGAAAGCACAAGTCTTCAACTGCATAAGGGTTGTTTTTACCCATCATGTATTTACAAAGTCTCTTTAGAAACTACATTTTAAGCTGTCACAATCACATCAACAACACCCATCATGGATAAACATCAACAGTTATTATTAATTCAGTGATTCATAAAAACTACAATTTGAATGATCCTATTGGCTTTGCAGTTATAATAATTTTTATATGCTATCATGTAATTCAGAAAAATTTTAAGGCTATAAAGTCAATATGTTCTAATATCCAACCTCAATTTCTTATACTGTTTATTCAATGTTTGAATATTCTTTACTTGAAATGGTTTTTACCCAAATAATGATTTGTATAGTAGCTGACATCAATCCAGACTATTTAATACTTTTTCTACTTAAAACAGTGCTAAAGAAATGCACTTGAATGACCATTGTGCACTATAAGGATATGACGACTCAGATCTCAGGTGAACTGATAATTATCAGTGGATGGTAACAGAGGTCTAGACTACCACATGCATATGTAAACAGCTCCACAGATTTCTGGGGACTTACGACAAGAGGCTTCATCAGAGGCATCAAGACAGTCAGCTATTCCATCACATTTAAATCGGTTGGGCACACAGTGTCCACTTGTACATTGAAAATAATCAGGATGGCAGGTCCTCATCTCTGCAGAGAGAAGATTGTCATTTCCAGAGGGCCTTGTCATTTTCAGATAGGTATTAGGTACATGGAGCAGAGCGAGTATTCCATCATGTTTCTATCCAAACCCACAGCCTGGGGTTATCCAATGAATAAACTCAAAACTCACACTTTCTGCACTCAATAGATGGAGGTGGAAATATCTATCTCCCCTTTATTAAATAATCTCCAGCTCTTAATCTTTTCCTTAAAAATCAGAATTCTTCCATATTTAATGTTTCCTGATTTTCCTCAGACTCAACATTTAATGAGCAAAAATTACGTGGGGTTTAAGATTTCTATCCCCTGGCGCGTATGCGTGCATGCCCAAGATCCCGAGAGGAGAATGGAACAGAAGGGATTGCGGCTTGGCCGTCCTCCTGGGGGGTGGGGGGAGTGGAGGGGGTGGGTTGATTTCTCACTTTCTTGCTCTCTGTCTCTCTCTGCCTTTCTGGCAAGCGCACGCACCCTATAGCAAAACCTCTTCCAAAAAAAGGAGAAAAAATATTTCTATCCCAATGCTCTAACATCTACACCAGATGGGAAGACCAATGTCTTTGTTTATAAGGCCAATACAGATCAAGTTAGCTCCTAAGAAATGTTTACATTCAAACTGAGATTTTCTTTTTTAATTTCTTGCTATTTTCTTCTGCTACGCATGATCTGGACACTGTAAGTTAAGAATAAAGCCCAGAAAATACAGAGAAGATCCTGTGTTATGCTAAATACATAGTACAGCAATTATTTTACTTTTAAAAAAACTTATAAATACTTATTTGAAGTCTCAACCCTGTCATAGTACAACATTCAATACTAAAATTTTCTAAATAAATAGTTACCACAGTCCCGCTCATCTGAGTTGTCCCCACAGTCATTGTCATGGTCACAGATCCATCGAGAGGGAATGCACTGCTGATTGGCACATCGAAACTCGCTCTCTGTGCACTCCCGGGGAACTGGAAAGGAAAGCCATGAGGCCATCAGTGTGTACCAGGAATCACACACAGGAGGCAGAAATGTGAGCTAACTAACTAAAGTACCCTCGGTACTCAGCGCCCTCCATGTCCCAAGCCCTAAAGTTTTGTTTAAGCAGATGATTCATCCACCAAAAGTAGACCTTCATCTCAACTTCAAGTCTATAAAGAATGGCCTACAGGGCCAGCCCCATATCCTAATGGTGGAAGAAGCAGGATCCCACATGGCCAACCACAGTTTGAATCCCAGCTGTAGCAGCTTAAAATACACTGAGTACACATGCGTGCATGCTCGAAATCCTAATCAGATAAAGAGATGAAAGAGAAAAGATTGTGGTATGATCACATCTCACTGGGAGTGCTTTCTCCCTTCCTCCCTCCCTCTTCCTCTGTCTGTCTCTTGTGAGCGCATGTGCCCTCTGGCAAATTTAAAAAAAAGATTCAGGGCCAGCAGGTGACATGGTGGATAAGGTGCTGGATGTGGTTGGCCATGGTTTGAGACCCAGACTGGGTGGCTTGAAAATCACGCCAGGCACACACGTGTGTGTGTGTAGGTATGTGTGTGTGTGTGTGCTCCCAAAACACTGAAAAGAGAATGGAGAAAAAGGGATTGTGGTTTGACCATCCCCCTGGGAGGGGGGGTGATTTCTCACTTTCCCTCTTTCTATCTTTCTCTGTTTCTCTCCACATGTACGCGTGCCCTATAGCCAAAGAAAAAAGATTTAACACAAAATCTTTATCTATAAACAATAAAACACCACTTGGATTTTGTGGAAGTTTTTAGCTGATTGATACTGGTGGATATAATCAGCATCCTGACTCTCTCATTTGGAGAACAATTGGAAATCAATTTGGCATTTGGAGATCAATTCTTACCTCTGAAAGTAGCCAAAGTTAGACTGTATTTCATATTAGTCACCATGAAACTGACATATATCATGAGTCAGTAATATGGCAGGAAATAAACTTGTTTTTAAAATGCACGTTATTTAGTTTTTTGTGACGTAGACTTTTAGGTTCTTTTCCTCAATCTCCCTGTCTAATTTTGTGCAGTCAGCACTTACAACTGGAAGAGAGGAACCAAAACCTGACCTATTATTTAACCGTTAGCCCTTTTAAACTTGTCAGCTGGTCAAGGAAGGATAATGATCCAAACATGCGTTCCCTCTCTTCTGCTATTAAAGCCAACATGTGGAAAAAGCTTAAGACGCAGGGTCTTTGGGTTAGTATAGTTCATCCCTATACGTCCTGACTTTCTATTTTCAGTCAATTATCTTATTATATTTGACCTTCATTGTAAGTCACTTCAATGACTTTTCCCCCTTGAGGGGGAAAAATGTGTGTACATAAGTTCAACGAACAAGAGTACTTCAGTAAATGTCCTCTTTTTTTAAAAATTTTTTATTATCATCATAATCTTCTTTATATTACATTGGATTACATATAACTTTACAGTGTATTACATTGCTTTTTCAAAAGGGAATGCCATGCATGTCAGTCAGTACAAAGACATTAATCTCCCCACTTCAACATTCAGTATCTTTTCTATGTTTTCCCCAATCAATGTCCTCCTCTTAAAGCTTTGTTGTAAACATCTAAGGATATGCTTTTGTCTTTAGTAGAAGAGAATGGTGAAATGTACCAACCAGCAGAAAGAAGGATTAAAGAGTTGGGACTAGCAGTTGGAGTAATGGCTATGTCGCTGGACTCCCACACTGCGGTTCGAGTCCTGGACCCAGTGTCTTAAACTCATGCTGGGTGCGTGTGCGTGTGTGCCCAAGATCCTGAGAGAAGAATAAAGGAGACGGAATTGTGGCATGGCCATCCCCCCTGGGGAGTGATTTCTCGCTTTCTATCTCTCTGTCTTGCTCTTTCTGGCGAGTGCACATGCCCTATAGCAAAAATCTCTCAATAAATAAATAAATAAATAAATAAATAAATAAATAAAAGAACCTCACCTTTGAGAATGAATGGCATGGACGGCAAAATTATAAACCCAGAGCAAACATAGCAGCTCTAGTGGCACATAGGAGCATAGAACCCTGCACACTCACCACAGTCTTCCTCATCTGAGTTATCTCCACAGTCATCCTGCCTATCACACCTCCAGCGAAGAGGAATGCAGTGGTGATTTTTACAGCGGAACTCCCCCGAAGATTTGCATGTCATTGCCTCTGCAAAGCATTGCAAGATTTCTTAAGTCAATGGTCAAGAAATACACAAAACAAGATTCCTCATGAGACAGTCTGAGAATTATGATATTTCTGCTGCTCCCAGAGAGAGGGATGACAGCAACTTTCACTGTCGATATTCCCTTTTTAGCTAACCTAAACCTTACCTACTGCTTGAAAGAGGATCCATTCCTTTTTGTAGAAACTGTTTGAAAAGTGAATTGGTATCTGGTTTGTAATTTCCAACAAAGCTCTAGCAAAAGAGACTAACATGATGCCACAAACGAACATTTCTATCCTATAGTCTAGAACTCAAAGTTCTTAAAATAACCTGTATTTTTTTTTTTTTTTTTTACCTCTCTTCCAACTAAATCCAACACACACACTCATAGACACCTTGGTATCAAGGACATGCCTCATCTTGACAAATTCCATTAATTTATTTGGCTTTTTGTTCATAAGTTCTACTATGTTCCAAGTGACTAAGGCTGTCCAGTAGACAATATGGAAAGCTAGAAATACATTCAGAATATGAAAATACCCAAATAAGAGGTATTTTTACTTAGAAATATTCTTTTTTAAGTACTATATATTTTTATTTTTTATTTATATATTTTTATTATTACTCATACATTAAATCGTTATATATCATTTAGTTTGTGAAGAGAATGTACCCAGCATGATATACACCTCAGTCCAGCCTTCCTTTTTGGCAATAAATACAAGTCTTTTTTCCTACTTCTTTATCACTAATTTCACTCAATCTATAAAATCAGACAAATAATTTCAATCTATCAAGTATAAATAAGGATTCCACATTTGGGAGAAATTATGCAAATTTCTAACTTCTTAATGTCTTCTTTAATTAAAGCATTTTGAGGGATAGGATGTCTTTTAAAGTGATACAAGTTATATTCTTGCAGTAACCCTGAAAAACACTACAAAACTGTAATAATATTTGAAGAATCAACACATAGTCTTTTTATGGAGGTAAACAAAGGAAAGATGGCAACAGGAAATCCACTTTTATCTCTCATCTTGGCATGTGACCTTTAATTTTTCTTGTCCCTCCCTCCACTCCCCTGCAATCCCTCCTACCACAGCCTTGCTCATCACTGTTGTCCCTGCAGTCATCAAAACCATTGCACACAGCCCACCATGGGACGCAGCGGTAGTTGGTTTTACAGCTGAATTCCGTGTGGTTGTCACAACGATACGCAGGGCTCACTGAAAAGAAGGGAAGCAGAAAAGTCAGAAGTCAAGTCTTAGTCCCACTGGGAAATGGCCCCAGAAAGCACCTTTCCAACTCTACTGATTCTGGGAACTTGTGTCTATTTAGGAATGATGTAAGCAGAAAAACAGTCTTAAGTTTTCTCTTTATCTCAGTACCACTGACTTGTGATGCAATTTTATAGGGGAGAAAAAGAATTGAGTTTGAAGTTAAAAGCTGGGTTGAAGTGTTAGTTCTGCCTCTAAATAGTCATCATTCACTTAATATAAGCCTCACTTTCCTGGGTAAAATGGGAGTTGCTTCATATCCACATTCCCAATCTCATAATGTTTCTCTGAGACTCCAAGAAGAAAGCACTAGACACACAAAATGCAAGTTCTTATTATCGTATACTAGACTGTTAGATATTGGGTGCGTTAGGAGAAGGTATCAGCTGCTTCAGAAGCAGGGGATGGTTGACCTGCAAGCCGTACAGCTATGTTTGGCCTTGCAATATCAGAGTTCACAGGGAGAGCCTAGGAGGAGCATCCAAAGAGATTGAAGCAGGGGGCTCCACGTCTTCTCTAAGTCCACAAAAAGGTTCTTTCTTGCCCCTGCTTTGGTCATGCCTTGCTTCCATCAGGAACTTACTGCATTCTTGGAGTGGCTCATCTGACTGGTCTCCACAATCATCATCGACATCACACTTCCAGGTCTGAGGGATGCAGCGGCCATTGGCACACTTAAATTGGCCAGGCTGGCAAGTCCTGCTAGCACAGTGGGAACTGTCTTCGTCTGAGTTATCTCCACAGTCGTCTACAGTGTCACACTGCCAGGCATCTGAGATGCAACGTTTGTTGGCACACTGCCATTCATTGGGTTCACAGCGGTGATTCTCTGGAAGCAGCAAGATTTCGTTATCAGTTTGGAAGGCATCAAGGGTGGAAATTCCTGATTTACGCTGATGGACCCTAGAGAAGTCCATCATAATTTATTTTCAGATGACTTAAGTTCTAATGTACTGATTATCAACCAGAACTACCACATAGGCAGCTATTCCTTTGACTATTAAAGTGTACCAAGTTTCTAAAGATCTTTTTCTTACATGCAGAATTAAAGGATAAGCATTAAATCCCCTGGCCCACTAAATATACTTTCTCTTGTCCCTGTTTGTTTCCCTGTTGGACAATGGTTTTGAAACTTTTTATTTGTGGTTATTTTTGATGTGTTGCTTTTAGTTTAGAGGAGTTTTTTTTCTCTTTTCTTTTTTTTAGTGGGAACATACACATTACAACTAAGAGTCCTTGTAGCCTTTGTTTCACCCTCAATATTAGCTCTCAAGGAGGATCCTATTGCATTTAACATGTGGTAAAGAACCCAATACAGAAAACATACTATCTACCTCAACAAACTGCTTATAGAGACTTTGAGATTTCTTTAAAATTTTATAAAAATAGATAGATGGTGGACCCTGAGTTTTCTCCTAGGATTTTGAAATGTTTTTTAGTTTGTGACATTCAGGAAATCTCCACAGAATCATTATTGTGCAAGATCAACATAGAAGTGGGGGAAAGAAATACAAAGCAATTCCACAAACCACAAAGAACATGATCTTCATCAGACCCATCCGGACAATCTTTCTGAGCATTGCATATGGACTGTGGCTTGGTGCAGTTGCCGTCCTTGCACTGGAACTCTCCTAGCCGGCAGAAGCGCTGTGGGCACAGGGCCACTTCATCAGAGCCATCCGAGCAGTCTCTCTGTCCATCACATTTCCACCAGATAGGAATACACCTGCACAGAGAAAGTACAGCATTTCTCTAGTAAAGCACTGGGGGCTAATGCAATAGGCAAAAGCTATCTACAGAGAAGAAATCAACATTAAATTACAATTTACTTTCAAGAGCTCTCTCATGACCCTGGAAGAAGATGAATTAAATCTCAGTTACCGTAGTGTGTTTTCCAAGCAAATATAACTAGATATTATAAATCAGGTTTGTTAAGACCCAAATATACATTGGTATAATGATTAAATTCATTTTACAACAAACAATGGACTGAGTATTTAGAGCTTTAATTCCAGAAATAGTAAATATTGAGATTGTCTGCCAGGTAATACAAAAGACATTCAGGTGTAGGTTGGGAAGCTAGATGATACTGACAAATACTGAGTGCCTATGTCATGATAGGTGTATGCTAGATTCTTAACTTCAGATATCTTATTTAATCATCTAAATAATCAACCATTGCATCTTACATACTATGAATTGCATTAATGCTTCTCTCTACCCAACTTCTCAGTCCTCCTGATCATCAATGGCCTCTGGCATCTAGCCATTGATAGGAAAATCATCTCTGGTCAAGTTTCATAGCTAAAACAAATGATCAAAAATGGATTTGTAACCTTAGATTCTCAGGCACTAAAGAGCTATACCAGGATAGGTGTGGCAAAAACACTTATCACTTTTTTTTTTTTTAAATTGCTATAAGGCATGTGTGCTCACCAGAAAGAGAGAAGGGGCAGAGGGGCAGGAATAGTGAGAAAGCAAGCCGCCAGGTTCAAGACTCAAACCGCAGTCCACCATATGGGAATTCCATGTCCCAACCACCACACACCCGATAGCCCTGAGATTCTATCACTATTAAGGGTTATTTTTCAGTACACACTTATATATTCTTAGGCCCCAATGCACAGGACAATTTATTAGATATAGGAAATACATAGCCTACTTTCGCCCTATAAATATAAACGCTTGCATACATAGATCTAACCATTTGGCTAGCAATTTCCTTCTATTCATAGAAGGAATTATCTGATGTTGGAGACTGAGAGTCTTGGTCCACATCAACCACATTAATTAATCAAAATCTTGGTTCCTTAGAAAGCTCCTATCCCTTAGAGCCTTCAAGTTCAATGTCTGTCCAAGGAATGGAGAGGCCCTGGGAAGGGGGAACGAGAGCCTTACTTTTCATTGTTAGCACACAGGAACTGAGTGCTGGAGCACATAGGCTGGCAGTAGGTGTTGCCATTCTGTTGAATGGTCTGGAAGTCATCTGGACACTCACAGGTAAATCCTTTCCCTCCTGCTTTAATGAGGCAGAAATGAGAACAGCCACCATTGTTGGTACCACAGGGATTGCTCACTAGTGAAAAAGGAAGAAAAATATATATTCATTTGCATAAAGAGACTATTAAGCACAGATGAACAGATATCTACTACTATGGTTTAAATAGGTCCCCCAGAAATTCATATGTTGGGACTTGATCATACTGGCTATATAGTAAAGGTAGTAAGCGAAAATGTAATCCCCTCATGGTGTCCCAGGGTGAGGCCTAAGGGCCAGTGAGTAGTTTATGGCAACTGCATCAGAACAGTCAAGTCTCATGAATAGATTAATGATGTCTTGCCTGACTCACTGAGTAGCTCTCATGAGAAGGGGTTAGTTCTTGTGACAGCTGGTTGATACAAAAGAGAGGTAAGTCTGGAACACTCTTATGTCTAATGCCCAGGAAGGAATGCTAAATTATTTTACATCACTAATTCTTGTTTTTGTTTCTCACATCCAAATTTATCATATATTGAGTCATTGGCAAAGTCATGATGTATTTTTCCATTTTTCTATGTAAAAATGCATCATGACTCTTCTGATGACCCACTATTTTAGTAAGACACCTTAATAAAGCAAACCTGCAAAAATCAGTCTATCGCACAAATATACTCCAGGTCTTTGCTAGAGTTTTTAAATTATAAAATGGTTATAATTACACAGAACAAATTAAAAATACTCTCAGGGCCAGATGGCAGCACAGCAATAAAGTGAGACACTCAGAGAGGCAGACCCACCAGGGCAGATTGCTGGTTTATAGGAGAGACCTCCCTGAGCATGCTGGCACGTGTGTGTTCATGGTCCAGGGCTGGCTGACAGTGGGGGGCTGTGTTCTATCTCTGCCCCTCTCTATTGCACTCTCTCATAGAATAGATAAATATTTTATGAAGTTTATATAACTTAGGAGATACTAAAAATGTGTTGCTCTTGACATTAATATCTTCTAGAAGGCAAAAATAACATCTATTTGACACAATGCAATGTCATATACAAATAGACATCTAATCAATAGTTGGGAATGATTGCAGTTTTCATCCAAAAAATTCTTTCAAAGTAGATTGATTTTAAGATTGATCTTAAGGAAGATAATTCCATACTCTCAACTCTCAGATAAGGTTTTAAAGAAAACATTAACGAGTGACAAGAAGCCCTTTGTAAATCATGATATCTGCTGCTTACGGAAACGAGAGTAACATGCACATAACCTGAAACAACTGTGCTGAACTCCTCAATCACCTACTCACCAATCGGCTGCCTGTATGGATGATACACATGGATGTCAAAAGGTCTGTGTGTTGTGTTCACCAGAGTCGTCCTATCTGATCCATCATATTTGTTTCCTTTTTCAACTGTCCTTGTATTCCAATCTGTCCAATAAACACTGTCTTCAAAAATGGTCATCGCAAAGGGGTGAGACAGCGTCCCATCATACACTGTGTGTCGATGGCGGCCCTCCAAATCAGAGTACCTGGGGCATCGGAAGAAAAGTTAACTCAATAAAGAAGATAACCCCTCTCCTCTAATGCCTTTCAAGATAAATGAATAAGCAGATCAATTAATAAAATTCTACCTCTTCCTCCCCAAAACTCAGTGTCACCTAAGCGTAATATGACTTACGGGCTTTCAGGGTTAACTTTGATAGACCCGCAGCATGTGCGTTATTAATTATGCCATCAGCACTTGAATGAGTGCTTTTCCAGAGGAATAAACCTACAGAAGAGGTTCTCCAATTTCAAGATGTCACAGAGCATCCATGGTCAAATTTCTAAGCTCTCTTGGTTACAATGTCTCATTCAGTAGTATGAGTCCATGTCAGATGTCATTTCTAAAGTACTGATATTAATTTTTTTCTTTTTTTGGAGATTTTTTGCTATAGGGCACGTGCGCTCACCAGACAGAGACAGAGAGATAGAAAGCGAGATATCACCCCCCAGGGGGGATGGCCATGCTGCAATCCCTTCTCCTCCATTCTCCTCTCAGGACCTTGGGCACACACGCACACGTGCCCGGAGTGAGTTTAAGCCACCGGGTCTGGGACTCGAGCCACGGTCGACTACGTGGGAGACCAGCGACACAGCCATTATGCTAACTGCTGGTCCCAAGTACTGATATTTTAATATTTTGAAACTCAAAAACAGATTCTAAACTCAAAACAGAAGGTACAATTCACTCAAAACTAAGAATCTTTTTTTAAAAAAAAAAATACTCAAAACTAAGAATCTTGATCATTTTATTCATGTGATCTTAAAAATATTTTCCAAATTATCATAATTTATGGTACCTTTAAAAAGCTACAGAAAACTGGAAGATCCATTTTGCTTCTGTTGATAGGTACATGTAAATAACCAAAACTTAGTCACCAACCATTTTTTTTGGTGGGGGGAGAGGTTTTCGCTATAGGGTGCATGCACTCGCCAGACAGACAGCCAGAGACATAGAGACAGAAAGCAAGAAATCACCCCCCAGAGGGGATGGTCACGCCGCAATCCCTTCTCCTCCATTCTCCTCTCGGGATCTTGGGCATGCACGCACACGCGCCCGGCGTGAGTTTTAAGCCACCTGGTCTGGGACGCGAACCATGGTCGGCTACGTGGGAGTCCAGCGACATAGCCATTACGCTAACTGCTGGTTCCCGAGTCACCAACCATTTAAAAAAAAAAAAAAAATCCTAGACCAAAGCCAGCCCCGTAGCACAGCCATTAAGTGCTGCAGAGAAAGCTGGATCCCACTTAGACAACCAGGGATCAAGTCATGACACCATCCCTTGACAAGCACAGTGGCAGCATATGCACATGCATGCCAAAGATCCTCAGACAATGGAGAATTAGAGGGGAAAAGATTGCAGCATGACCAGCCCTGTTGGGGAGAACTTTCTCTTTCTTTCATGCATGCAATGGGCCCTCTGGCATTAAAAATTAATAAATAAATTAAAAATATACATATCAAGACCCAAAGGTAGTCTGGTTACATTTTCTTTCAGTTCTTGTGTAATCTCTGTATAAACATCTCACACACTTTTTTTAAGTTTTACTACAGGGCACATGTGCTGGCCAGAGACAGAGATAGAGAGAGACGGAAAATGCAAAAGCATACCCTGGGAGGATGGCCATGTGACAAATTCTTCTCCTCCATTCTCCTCTTGGAATTTGAATATACATGCACATGCACATAGTGTGTTTCTCAAGCTGCCAGATCCAGAACTCAAACCATGCAGTCGGCCATGTGGGATCCACCTAACCACCACCCTACCAGTTGGCCCTCTCAGATATTTCTATGAATATTTTTGGTTAAGTAAAGAAGCATAGGCACAGCTCCAGTGACTATTGGTATATTCCAAGATGTATTAGAAATTGATCAGATACTCTATAAAAATGTGTTGCTTTATGTAGTCCATGGAATATATCCCTAAACCCAGGCATTGCTACCCTTCCAAGAGGTGAGCAAGTCAACTTGGCTACATGAATATCAAAGGTTCACTCATTCACAGATCACAGATCACTGACTATTAGATTGAAGCCTACTGCCTGAATTTTAGAATACAGCTATGCCAATAAAATTTGATTAAAGAGAGAACAAAATATTAAGCAGCTATAAAATTCCCCTTTTCTACCTCTAATGCTTATGTGTGTGTACACTGCCCATGTCACTTAAAACTACTAACCTTTCAAGGTCAAGAATAATCTATAAGACCCAAAGGACAACAAAAGTCCAATAAGAAAGTTGTCAAAGGTTCTTTGAGCATCTTAATGGTTCTACTCATTCAAAATGAGATTATATGGGAAGCTAATTCAGCTCTTTGATGTTCCTTTCAAGAGAAGATACACACATACACACACTGAAGTAGGACCAAGGGTGCCACCATCAGTACATCACATTAAAATGGTACAAATAAGGGATCAGCAGTTGGCGTAATGGTTATGTCGCTGGACTCCCATGTAGTTGACCGCAGTTTGAGTCCCAGACCCGGTGGCTTAAACTCCCACCAGGCACATGTGCATGCACTCCTAAGATCCTGAGTGGAGAATGGAGAAGGGATTGTGGCATGGCCATCCCCCCAGGTGGTGATTTCTTGCTTTCTTTCTCTCTATCTGTCTCTGTCTTTCTGGTGAGCACACACACCCTACAGCAAAAACTTCTCCCAAAAAAATAATTGGTACAAATAAATAGGAAGTAATAATCTATTGATTCTGACCACAGTTGGCCTCTACCCTAAGAGTAAATTAGTATCTGATATGGTAAAGTCTTCAATGAGAATGCTGAAGAAGGACTTTACTTTATCAAATGAATGAGGTGCAAGAAAGTTTTACCAAGGCACTACAAATCAAAATCTTTAAAATCACTGAAGTCTCCTTTCCTACTTATCCTAAACATATTGGATTGTTGGGAAAGCCATGACACATTTTTGCATAGAAAAATACATTGTGATTTTCCCAAAAACCTAATATTTTAAAACTAAGATCATGAACTCGGTCCAAGGGCCAACGTTCAAGAGAGACGTTGGGGAGTAGCATAGTTGGACGGCACGGCCTATAAAAACAATCCAAGTTCCCTTTAATTTCTACACCATGGTGGCAAAGTCTCTACTGCATGGGTCAGCTGGTGAGGATTCTGTGAAAGTGTCCCAATTCCACAGTACCGAGTTCTGGGATTGTATGCCACATGCACAAGAGTAAAGAGCACTAATAGGTATACCAGGTATTCCTTCTTTCTCAGTGGCATATCCAAAAGACTATGGGGTAAGTGAACTCCCAAAATTTCTACACTGACTTTGGCAGCAAAATAACCTTAACAAGAAAGCAGAACTTCCAATTAGGCCTTATCTATTCATTGGTTAATAATGTATATAGTCTTCTTTACAATGAGTATTTTTCATGGAAAAGCATGGTATTTAACACACTTTAAGAGAACTACCCTATTACCAAAAATATTTTAATGCATTATCATATCGAATAAATATTAACAGGTTCTACTGCTATATAAAAACAATTCATTGTCAGGACCAACAAATGGCATAATGTTTACATCACTGGACTCCCATGTAGTCACCTGCGGTTCAAGTTCTGAACCCAGCAGCTTAAAACTCAAGCTGGGTACGTGTGCAAGCATACCCCAAATCCCGAGAGGAGAATGGAGGAGAAGGGATTGTGGTGTGGCCATCCCCCCCGGGGGTTAATTTTTTTTTCTGTCTCTCTGTCTCTCTCTGTATCTCTGCTGAGCACATGTACCCTATAGCAAAAATCTCTCTAAAACAAAACCAAAAAAAATTATTTAAAAAAAGTCATTGTCTTATCAATAGATGCACCAAAGTATTTTAAGGAAGGTCTTTCCAACATTTTAATTCTTTTCCTTTTTCCAATTACTATAATCTATAAATCAAATATTTGGGCCGGAGAGAAACGTAAAGAGGTAAGGAAATTAAGTTGAGTTCAGCACTAAACTTACCACCACAAGGGAGAGGTTACTAGCCCCATTTTCTAGGTAAAACAAACAAACAAACAAACAAAAAAAAAACAATAAATTGAAGCACTATGCCATAAACCCTGATCTATATGACTTCAAAGTCCATTCTCTTTCTACTCCACCACACCTTTCAGCTCAGCAGTTTTAATCAGAAGTGACCTTAGAATGATTCCTAATATACAACCAGTTAGAAGGTGCCTGGGACTAATGTCTAGAAACACCAGCCCTGCTGTTTGGAATAATCAATTATCCAGTTGTTTTATTCTTTATGTACGTACTCAATGTAACCAAGATGTGCATCTGCCCAGTAGAGTAGATCATTGGTGTAATCAATGGTGATGCCATTGGGCCACTCTAACTTGGAAGAGATAATCACAGATTTATTGGTTCCATCCATGCCTACTCTTGCAATGTATGCACGGTGACCCCAGTCTGTCCAGTAGACATACCTGTTGGAGCAAACACAAATGGTCAGTCCCTGAAGTCAAAATAAGTCAGTCTTTCTTTTTAGAGAAATGGAGTTTACATTCTACATAGCTTCTCAGAAAGGAGAGAAAGCTAGCAGAGAATAATACCAAAGAGAAAAAAGAAGATATACAGAAATGTTTAGAAATGAACATGATTAATTATGGGTTTCAGTGGCTTTGATATGGACAATTCAGTAAAGAAGTGGGTTTTTACCCCAATTTTTTTTGTCTGCAGCCAAAACATATGACATGGAAAGTGAAAAGGTGTGTGATGGCAAAGAAAACTAAATAGCTGATAAATATCATTTGAACAAGCCATAGTTCTACCTATCATACCAAACCATCTACCAAGTAGGGAAA